CCGCTGGGGCCGTTTCCTGGCCCGCGTGGGGCGCTGAGTGGCAGGTGTGCACCCGCAAACGCCACCTTCCCCAAATCTGTCCTCGTCTGCCCCCCTCTGCACACACAACCCCCCCCAATTTGTGTTTATGTGTGTGTGTGAGAGAGAGAGAGAGAGCGAGAGAGAGAGAATGGCGGGTGGTGGTGGTGGTGGTGGGGGGGTTCTCTAACGAGACGGCCCCCAGCCTCTCACAGCCAGTCAGCTCCCCTCCTCGATGCCCGCAAGGCAGCTGCAGGCCTGGGGGAGAAGGGGGCCCGGCGGGCTGCCTGGGCTAACCCCCACCCTGACATGGCTGCCCAGTTGCTCCAGCGCGTGTGTTGCTGAGCATGGACTGGGACCGGACTTATTTCGGTGGGTACCCTGCAGGCAAATAAATGAGTAATTCAGGTCACCCGAGAGGGCAGGGCCCTGCCTTGCCTCTGCTATCCTGAGATTGCCTGGCCTACACTTTTCTGGTTGCCCGGGGCAACGGCCAAGGTTGCAGCTCTTTCACAGGCCCGGCGCCACCCCCCCCCCCACCCCCCAACTTGCCGACTGAGGGAAGAGAAACCGTCCTCGATTCGATACGGACGGCTTTCCCGTGGAAGATTATCCGCGACGCCCACCGCTCTGCGGCTAAATGTAGCCTCGCGAAGAGCCGGGCCGCACCCGTGACGTCTATTTCATTCTTTAGCCGTTCATGTTGCTAGTTGATTCATCTTCGGTTTAAATAAAAGCCCTGTAGCCACCGACCCCCCACCCTCCCACCAGGACGTTTATAATTCTGTCTTGTTCTTCTGCACTTGACTCTTCCCCACATGGTGCAGAATTATCCGCTTCTGTGCGTCGACCCTATCAAAGCCGGGAATATGCGCTGGTCTCGTCCGCCGCATGAAACACCCCACGCCTGAGCTTTAATTACACGCTTTCGCCTCTGACAGCTTCCAAACTGTACTGTTTATATATATATATATTCATCACTCATAGGCTGCTATCTGCAGCCTGGCTCTAAATCAATGAAAGATGAAAAACAGAAAGGACTAATTACAGTCTGTGATACAAGACTAAACGTCTGATTTTTTTTTTTTTTGTTCATTCATCCTCGGGATAAATTAAATGAAATAAAATGTTTTCAAGGGGGGTGAAGTTTTCAGTTTTTTTCTCCTTCTCTCAGCGCAGAACTAGGCTTTCTAAAAACAGCCAACGTGAATAATTCATGTGCTTTTGTGTTGATTTAGCACGTTGCGAACTTCACAGCGTCCGAACGAGACGGTGTCTCCGGCTGCGTTTTGCTAAGTGGGGGCATGGCAACGTTTTGGTCGAGTGGGGTGGGGGTGGGGGACTTGATATTATTGCCCCCAGTTGTTTTTTTCTCATATTTTCCAGGATACAGAAGTTTTTTGAGCACTTAAAAGTTTCTCCCATTCTTCCTCTTCCTCTCATTCTAAAGGCTGCACCCCTCAATGGTGACAGCTGGGGGGGGGCACACCCTCACCCTCAGAAAAGATGTCTGCTTCTTCTCTGTGGCACAGGACTTTGTAAGTGATCATTGGGGGTGACAGCAGCCACTTGTCACTCCGGTATGGCGTGTCCTTGTCCAAATATTTAACGGGACTTCCCCCTTCCCTAGCTCAGAGGGGGTGTGAGCGTGCAAGCTGGGGGGTTGGGCTGGGACCTTATTACCTACCCCTGCCCCCCCATCTGCATTTTTAATGCCGGGAGACAGAGGGTAGGAAAGCAAGCCTACATTCAGATCCTGTTTCTTTAGAGCTCCAGCCCAAAAACATGGTATATTTACTTGGGGGGGGGGGCAGGAAGGAGAGTGGCGCATGACGTGCAGGTTTCAGCGATGTCCTCGCGGTCGTCCCCGTCCCAGGTCGCTTCCTATCGTGGTCACCCTGCCAAGAACGTCCTTCTGGGTCTCAGAATGTTGGTCACCCTCCCTCTGTGAGTCTCCCTGGGAGGTGGGGGGGGGGGTGTACAGTGTTTTCTATACACACTCATTTATGACTCTAATGTAGTGCGGCTGAATTACACAGGATATGGGAAAAAA